CTTTTCTGATTTGTCTCTCCTTATGCTTGTTAGATTCGTCATTCGGTAGCACTTTCATTTTACATCCGTAAGTTGGATGCCAAACATGGGTTGCCTCCATGCAACACTCTTTCGTTTATGCCTTTGAGCTAGGCATAGCTCCTCGTTCATCAAGCTCCCAAACTTAGGGTTTCTTTGAAGTCCATCATTTTGATTGTAGGATTTATTTTATTGCCATCCTTCTTTATGCTTGATGGTGGACCATGAAGAATAATCCACCTTAGTCTCCACCTTGCACCTTTTATCCCACAGTTTGATTTTGAGCATTGTGAATGTTGTAGAGGTAACAATCCAAGGAGGGACTCTTTTATTCCCCTCTTTGGGTTATATAAGACGCTACGGTCTCATGGATCTCTAGAAATGCTGTGAATGGATCCTCATCCAAGAGTCGAGTGAGGTCATGTTTGGCTCCATGATGTATCTCCACCAAGATTTTGTAGTTTTCTTCATGGTTTCCAACTTCGGGAATGCCATCCTCCATCTTATCATGAAGGGTGCCCTTGGAAATGAAGAATTTTTCATGCTCTACCCTTCTCTTCCTTAAAGTTTTTGTTTTTTTTAGGGTTGTGCAGATCTTTGAGAACATGATATAAGGGGATCTTGAAGGGGTCCATCAATTACAAGGTTTGGATCTTCTATGCGCATAGCACATTTCTTAGAGTAGGTTGGATTGCTACTCTTTGATTTTCTTACATTGTTGCATAGGATGATATATATGATCCTTCTTCTCCAAGATTGAAGTTGCAGTCTTCGTCAATTTCTTTCTCCCAACTAGAGTTTAACTCAAGATGAGTGTGGCTTGAAGTTTCTTCCATCGAGCTAGATGCTAATTCTTAATTAATGAACACCTCCACGATCTCTTCAATGGTGGTGGAATGTTGCTCCCTTCCTTGGTTGGATTCCATGTCGGTCCAATCATCAAAATTTTGGATATGTGGCTCCTCTTGAAACTCCTGCTTTGATTGGGTAGGATACGATGGTTGCTCCTATAGTGGTTCTTCACGTTCATTCTCCATTTGAGGTTGATCATCCTTGTTTGATTTCTCCTCCACGGTCTCTTGTTTGATGTTTGTTTTCAATGGTTTTATTAAACTTTGAATAAGAAGTGCAGGGAGATCATCACAGTTGGTCTCTCCCTCTTGGATGTTTTCAATTCTTGTGGATGCCTCAGTTGGTGGATTGCTTGTGGATGCATATTGAAGAAGGCATAGGAAGTATTGGAAGCCCTCGACGAGTGTAAAGCCTTCAACATCTTCAAATTAATATATGAAAGTTAGGATTAGTGTAAGTTCTTCAATACTACAGCCTTTTTCCTCCATTGCTATTTCTAGGGAAGGTATCTCGTCGTCTCCTTCCAAAGATTGAGTTCTTAGATCATCTTCTTCCTCTCCAAATTTGGGACTTCATATGATATTCCCCTTGAGGTTCCTTGTTAGGTTGATCAATTTTCTTTTCTTGGATAGGTTGAAGATTCTCGACCATGGCTTCCGTGTTTGGTATGATGCTTTTATCATGCTGTTAGTAGCTTCCTCCATCCTTCGCATCTTCCTGAGGGTCTCTTGCCTTCTTCTTCTTCTTACGAAGATTGAGTTATAAACCCATCTTCTTCATCATCAAATTCATAGGTGATTTGAACATCTTCTAGCAATTGCTTTAGCCCTACATCATTGATACTAGCATTGATGCTGCAAGGAGGTTTTGAATTGATCTAGCATCTTTCATTAAGAACTTTGAAAGCTTGTTCCATCTCCTCTATACACGTCTCTCTTAGGAAATCTTCTAGATCCATTCCCTAGCTATCCCAGTTGACATGAATCCTTTTCCATAGTAATGTAGTGTAGGATTGTCGTTGTTTGCCTCAACCTTCGATGCCTTTGGCCTAAAGTACTAGAATAGAAATAAGATGCCCATCTTTCTTCGAGTGATTCTCTTTTTTTTTAGTATCATGTCCTTGTAGGGGTTTTTATGGCTTCCTCGAGTTAGAATCCTGCAAAACAAAACCAATTAGAGCGTAATATTTTATCTTTATAAATCAAACACAAGAGGTTAGTTTCTTTCAAATACTCTCAAAACTCTCTGCAAACGATGCTAAAAACTTGAATTCGGTAAATCAAGTTCTAATCCTAGGAGTGCATAGGGTCGTATTCCATAGAATCTTTTAGTAGTAACTGCGCAAAACTAATCACCTATGTCGAGATAAAACAATGTAAGAAAAGTAAAGCAAGTGGGTTGAGGTGACTTTGGATTTTTAGATCTATTATGCTAAAGCAAATATAGACAGCAATCAAAGAAAGTACAACAATTGTTTCAGTAGCATTTTTTAGATGATCATGCATACCACCTCATTAATAATATGCTACAATGCATCATCTATTATGATGTCGTATCCCTTCCACTAAGGTCATCCTACTTGTGCTTTCGCCACATGCAATAGGAACTTGACAAGCCAATGCATACTTTCACTTCATGCCATCACCTAATCAATGAAGAACAAGGAGGTTAGGATATTATGTGTTTAAGTGTGGACCTCTTGAGCTCATAGTCTTTAGCATTTTATGATCGAACAATCAAGCATTGATACTACTCAAGGTATAGATGGTTGATTATTCCCTCTATAAATAGATGATATAAGCACAAATTGACTTAAAGCGTCAATGATAAAAGCATTGAACACAAAAGGCATCTCATTAAATCATATTAAGTAGATGCATAAATCATCAATGAATTCACATCCCTAGACAATGATAACTAGAAATACAAAGGAGAATAGAAAAACATCAGATACATGCATTGATGGTGAAGACTCCTCGTCGAATTCCTGCAGTAATTCGCTTATTCTCTATGAATTGCTACCCGTGCCCTTAGGGCAAAGTGCTGGCAAATGGTCTGTTTTGAATTATAACCTAAGCCTCTATTTACTAGCATCTATTTAATCGACATGTTGCAGGTTCGATACCTTACCTAGCACATAATCACAAAAAGTAACATATATCACCCTTATAAAAAAATTCTTTATTACAAAAAGTAAAAAAAAAAAAAATTCAGTTAGGGTCGGTTGGGTTTTCAGGCTAAATAGACAGTCAAGTTAGTTTGGGTTGGGTTAAATGTGATTATTTTTTGAGTGATTCTTTATTACATTAAGTAAAAGAAAATTCAAAATTTTAGTTTGGATCAATTGGTGGGTCAGGCTGAATAGACGGTCAAGTTAGTTTGGGTTGGGTTAAATTTGATTATTTGAGTGACTCAGCTTTCTGTCATACAACTCAACAGTTCGGTTTGGCACGTCTTAAAACAACTAACTGTGTTAACGGAATCTAGTGATTTTGTTTTTATATAATTTGACTAACAAGAAGAATCCGTTGAAACCTTGCATAACCATATTGTTTCAAGCACAACAAGAATGTGAGAAAAGCTAGGGGTGAGAGAGAGTGCTAATAGATAGATGCCTCTGTCATCCCATTCTGCATATCATGGCGATCATACAAAGAACTCATTCTTGCTAAAGCCAAGCATTACGAAATCCAACGTGCTGGTGTAAATACAAAACCATGCTCCATAATGCTCGGTCTTCATAAACTTTTTTTATTGCAGTCACAAGTACTTACTCCCATTATGCCTATGTGCAGCTATCCATATAATCCACAATTATAGGAAACAAACAAAGGTGCTATGAGTTTGGCAACAGCTTACAGAACACATGTAAAAACCACAAAATTCACCTGGGATAGCATAATTGAAAAGGGAAGTTATCTCCAACTACGAAGCATTAATAAAGGACTCTTCAATGTCCTGATCAAAAGGTATGTTCTTCTGCTCTCATGTCAGTTTATGTAAGCCTGGTATGTCACTTCAAAGGGATTAACATTCTACTTGTGCATGACTACTAAGCAAATGTAAGCAATTCGATAGAAGAAGTTTTGTTGAGTTTTCCCATCCTAGATCATCGTCATACGGAGCAGCACAGATTCAACACACTTCTATGTTTAAATTATCAAACTAATTTCAACTAGAGTCTAGAAGAAAGAGGAAAATGAAACTCGAATCTCCCCACTTGGTTCAACTATCACACACTCACAAATAAACAGCTAAAGAAAGCTGCAAAAAAGAAAGTCTTCCATGTACCTATAGTATAAAAACAGCAGGTATCAATGTCTCTTCTTAGCCTGCAAAAAGAGTCAAACAAACGAACCACCATTTCAAAATACATGAATCATGATACTTGAGTTCATTGAACTCACAAGGTTCAAGACCTCAACCAATTTAAAAAAGACATCTTAGACAGAGAGGTTGCTTATTGCAAAACATGAGCTAAGAAACGTAAAACAAAGAAGCAGATATAGAAGTTAGCTTGCACTCACCAAGCTCCATGTCTAGAAAAACTTGCCCCCGTTAATGGTTATCTCATCAAGTCAGTGCTAATAGTGGTGTATTCAGGGCAGTAGACCTCACCAGTAACTCACAGAACCATCAGCAGGTCTCTTCCTGACAGGTTCCTATTGATCTCGATTCATCATTTTCCCACAAATGTGATAGCAATTTCATGTGTTCTACCTTTCGTTTAGAAACATGCAGCAGCAGCACTATTCTCAAATCTCAAGTCAACTCCAATCCCAAGAACCGAATTGATTAGGGCAAGACTGCATCGAAAGGATACTCTTTGCTCGTCCATACTGCTAACAAAAGTGTATTGACTGTTCATTGAAAAATTTCACATGTATATATTGCACAAGTGATACAAGGCGTGGAAAGTATTCAATATCAATGGAATAAAAAGAAGAAACCACGAACAGGACAAGACATTTCAAGAATGTTAACAAGACTACAAAAATGCACCCAGAAAAGGCTTCATAGACCTTAAGGAGAAGGAAGGACCTGGTAAAAAACATTTGAAAATACAACAAGATAAACAGCCTCTTCCCTGCATTAGAAAGCCAAGAACCGATAAATGGGAGGACACCACACTATGTAATGAGCTTCTGATGAGATTCTATCAGCAATGCATTCAACAGAATCTGTACAGCTGCTTCATAAACAGCTCCATCGTAATGCATTCCATCAACTGTACAACGAGGCCCACAATTCCAACTCAAGGATTGAATATCAAGCAACAGACACGGCCCGCCATATCTATGCAAGAGCCTACTGTCACGCAGCACCTTATCATAAGCATGCCACATTTCATCACTCAGCTTCTCCCTCTTCTCTTCCGTGTTTAGCATCCCATTTATCAACATCGGCATGCCCAGCCAAAACAAGTGTGGCGATCTTACAGAGACTGTACCCATTACAGGGCCATCAGTTCCCAATTCGGGTGCCAATGGCAGCAGCGACACCACAGAGCTCCTCAATGACTTCAAATCGACACCGTAACTCGAGGCATTTGTGAAATGCAGCATATGCCACAGCCCTGCTCCCATTACCAAGACATCGGGGTAACTTCTGTTCTGCTTAAAACCCATCATCAAGTTGCTCAAATTTGCAACGTAAGGGGCCCACACAAAATCCAATTTCATTCCCATTTCTTCAACAACAATTCCATAGTCGCTGTGTCTTCTAAACAAATCCCCTTTGATCGATTCCATTCGTTCTGAGTTCAAAACTAAACCCAACAGCGATTGAACGACTAACCGTGACTGGGAGTCCCCTGCCACAACAACCCAGGATCCGTTGAGTAGATCGGAGATATCACCCTTGCCCAATTTCTGAAATTCACAAGCCATCACTTTCCAAGACTTCGACCACCCCCAATTCTTCTCAAACGCTACCGCCGATGACACACTGACACCACCAACGTTATCACCATCGGGTTCAGCAACAAGGAGTTCTTCCCGCATAGGCTTCATATCCCACACGACTTCGTTCACCAAGTTAATGCAAGAATCGTCGCGGTTATCAAATATAACTACTGATTGTACAGAGGTCACGAAATCAGAGACGGAGGGGAAATAGGGAGTCAAGTGGACGCATACCGCGAGACTGATGAAAAGGGCGCCGCTAAAGAAGAGCATCTTGTTACGACTCAAATGCCAGCCCGCCATTACCATAGGTACAAACAACACAATACACGCAAGCAACAGTCCAAACTGCAGACCACCAAACATGGTAGAATTGAAGCTTACGGCCGCTTCCGCTGTTGAATTCTTTTCAGATCCCAAGGTTCGCCATTATCATGAGTAAGAAAACAGGGAAAGAGACGAGTCTTCTCCCAAGATTGCTTTGCTTGGTGCTGCTGGTGGGAAAGATTTGGAGCTAGGGTTTGAGAATTGGGAGAGAAGATCCAGAAATTGAATTAAAACGCCGGGTCGGGCAGCTGAAGGAAGCGATTGGAAACGAAGAAAGGCGCTGATTCTTCGAGGTGGGAGAGTGATAGTAATGCAACACCTGCCGCGTCCGGGTATTTAATTAGTTGCAAATTTACTTGCAATTTTTAAGTTTGATGAAAGGAAAACTAAATTAAGCACGAACTTACAAACCTACACAAATAATAGAGTTACGTGCTACCGAAGCACAAATAATAGAGTTTAGTGGTACCGAAGTCCTATTTAAATTTAAGTGATATATCTGTCTTAATTCTCAAATCTGATATCCCAGGTATTTTATCCGCTTTCAAACCGGTTTACGTAATTATTTCGACGGATGATATGATTGATATCAATTTATATCGGTTTTAGCAAAATATATAGAGAAGTAGAAAATCATTAACACTAAAAGAACTTTTATATATATATATATATGTATATGTGGGGAATTCTACGGTACCAAATGTGAAATTCGGGGTACCTCATACTTTGAGTAAGAAAGCCCTATCTAGAACTTGAATTGACTTATCTTTCGGATATGATACTATACTCTAACCCTTAAATATCATAATCGAAGTCTTAATTCTCTAAATCTTATACCCCGAGATCAATTTGATTAGAAACAATAATCGACGGTTATGATTCGTCCAAATATAGGCAAAAAAATCAATGCACCATCTTAGGGTTTATAGTTTATGATTTAGATAATTAGGACCTAGGGTTCACTCATTAAGGGTTAGGTATAGTATCATGCTCAAAAGTCATGCTCATTCGAGGTCTAGATAGCGTTTTCATACTCAAGGTATGCGGTACCTCGGATTTCACCCAGGGTATGGTAAAAGGCACCATATATGTATATATATAGCAGGTGATCTAACCGTTAGATGTACTTAGATGAGCTTCGGCCGATCTCAACGGTCAATTTTTATTTTTCATTAAATCAAACTTCGTGTTGGGGTTTAGAAAATCGGTGCCTGGGGTTTATCCATTAGAGGTTAGGGTATTGTATCATGCCACAAACTCAATTTAATTCATGGTCTACATAGAGATATCTCACTAGTAGTACCTGACGTATAGTATACGTCAGGCGTATACTATACGTCAGGTACTATTAGTGAGATATCTCTATCTAGACCATGAATTAAATCGAGTTTGGGGTATGATACTATACCCTAACCTCTAATGGATAAACCCCAAGCACCGATTTTCTAAACCCCGCCTCGAAGTTTGATTTAATGAAAAACAAAAATTGACCGTTGAGATCGGCCAGAGCTCATCTAAGTACATCTAACGGCTAGATCACCTGACGTATAGTATACGCCTGACGTACACCAGTCATTACCATATATATATATATATATGGGTGATTCTATCGTACCTTGGGTAAAATCAAGGGTACAACATACCTTGAGTAAAAAAATGATATCTAGACCTCGAATTAAGCATAGTTTGGCGTATGATATTATTCCCAAACCCTTAAGGATTAAAATCTAGGTCTTAGTTTTATAAATCTCATACACTAAGATCAATTTAATTAGAAACAAAAATCAACGGCTATGATTTGTCGAAATATATGCAACAAATTACAGGCACAAACTTAGGGATTAGGCTCTTTGATTTAGAAATCTAAGACCTAGGTTTCAATCATCAAGGGTTAGAGTATAGTATCATGTCCAAAAATCCGGTTAATTCAAGGTCTAGATAGCATTTTTTTACTCATGGTATGTCGTACCCTAGATTTTACCCAAGGTACGATAGAAGCCACCATATATGTATATATATATATATATATATATATGATGACTACTTCGGTGCACTCACAAAAATGAGTGCGTTCAGTGCACCCAACTAAAAAACTAGTATTAAGGTGTCGAATTTTGAATTTTAATTTTTAGAATTAGTTTCATATGATGATATAACATATGATAACAACTAATTAGCGGATTACCCTAAGCGCTAGACCTCCAATTTTGAGTTCTATCCCTAAACCCAAATTGTAAACCCTAACCCTAAATCTTTAAACTCTAAATCTTTCAAATTAAAGTAAATCTTTAATGATTTTTGTGCAAATTCATGTGCGTTATGAAGTGCACTGAATGTACCCAAAAAAGTGAGTGCACCGAAAACGTCACCATATATATATGGTGGCATATTCGGTGCACCCACTTTTTCGGGTGCACTTAGTGCACTCGCCTCATAATTGTCATTCTGACCATGCGATCCATGTCAAAACGGTATCAATTGTTGCTTATGATATCATGAACAAGAAGCACATGAATTTTAAAAAAATTCATTCAAAATTTAAATTAAAGATTTAGGATTTAGGGTTAGGGTTTAGGTTTACAATTTGGGATTTTGGGTTGGGATTCAAAATTGAAGGTTAAGGGGTTAGGGTAATGGATTGATTTGTTATGATTCTATGTCATATCATCATATTATATTGAGAGTACTAATTAAAGTTCAAAATTTGATGTATTATGGACGCTTTTAGAGTTGGGTGCACTGAGTGCACCAAAAAAAGTGAGTGCACCGAAGTAGCCACCATATATATATGGTGACTATATCTCTAAAATATGCATCCATATTTAAATAAAGGGCTAATACCACTGGGAAACCCGAACTATTAACTTTGTGTCATTTGTGTCCTAAAGTATTCGATATGACAATTGTGTCCCAACGTTTGGTAGTTTTGTGTCATTTACGTCACAATTTTGTTGACCGTTATACATAACGGTTGACCAAACGGTCAACCATAAAATGTTGACTGTTGGTTACATGACACATATGTGGCCGCCACGTATACACCACGTCAGCTGCCACATCAGCTCATTAACACATAATATTTTTTAAATTATTTTTTAATATAAAATAATAAAATTAAAAATTCTATTTTTTTAACCCCTACCGTCGGTCGCCGCAACCACCCAACCGAACCAAAACCAGATTCAGTTCCCTTCCGACCCTAAAGCTCCAAAGATGAATCGCGTCGTCTTCCCCAAACTTCACTTCCTCCACCACTTTGTTCCACTGCGACGTCAGAACGTAGTTCCCCCTGCCGACGACCGTGACCCACTGCTCCGCCGCCTCCTCCGCCGTCAGGAACTCTTCCCCAACCGCCCCGCGCGGGATCGACAACCGCGCTTGGCTCTGGTCCAGTTCGCTCCTCGACAGACGCTTCTGGATCACAGACTCCAATCGACATCTTCTCCGGATTTTCAGCACCAGCTCCGCAAAGGATACTTGGTCCGGCGACTTGGACGAGGAGAGACAAATATCGAACGGCGAATAATCCAGCTCTGGCAACCACCACTTCAATTCGGCCCTACAAATCCAGGTCAGCTCCGTCGCCTTCAAATTCAGATAAAAATTCCAATCGAACTCCTCCAATCTCAGCTCCGTCGCCTTTAGATTCAATTCAAAATTCCAATCGAACTCCTCCAATCCCTAAATCACCCATCGTGCTTAAGATTTCCATTGCGGATTCGCGAAAGATGTGTTTGTCGTCGTTCAATTTCTTCGTGGTTCCACCATAGCTATAGACTGCGGCGGTAGAGGAGAAGTGCAACGGAGGTTTAGGAGTGGAATCGAGGGAGTTGATTTGGGGATTCTTGTTTGTTGCAGGTAACGGCGTCAGAGGCGGCCAGGAGGAGGATGTGTTGTCGGCGGCGGAGGTGAGGATGAAGATGGGTTTGGATTTTGGGATTTTTTCTGGATTTGGGTTTGGGTGTTTGTAGTTCAAGAGGGCAGCGAGCAGAGGAGAGAAGACGAAGAAGCAGCGGGAAGAGTTCCGGCGACGAAGACTACGGAGGAGAGATAGAAGAGTTATTTATTTTCTATTTTTCTATTTAATTTTTTGTATTTTGTAATTTTCATTTTGTTAGTTTATTTATTTTTTATAATAAAATAAATAAATAATAATATTCCACGTCGGATGCCACATCAGCGCTGATTAGATTTTCAGTTTAAAACTAACGGTCAACGCCAGTCAACTCTAACGGACAAATAGTTTAGGACACAAATGTCATATCGAATACTTTAGGACACAAATGACACAAAGTTAATAGTTCGGGTTTTCTAGTGGTATTAACCCTTAAATAAACTACATTCCTTCGGGGCATCTGATGAACTTGGAACGATACAGTGAAGACATATTTAAATAAAATACAACATTTCAAACAAAATAAAAATTCTCATATTTAAATATAATATTTACATAAACCTCGTCCAACTTGCATGTGTTAAGCATGTTGCCATCGTTCATCCTGAGCCAGGATCATCTATACATTCATATATGAATCCAACAAATAACATTAATATCTACACATTCATATTTTAATCCAACAAATAATATCAACATTTAACTTTTAAATTCGAGAAATAAATAAGAATGATTACTTTTTAATTAAAATCACCAAAACAACGCATTTTGTTTAGATTTCAAAAAGCAATGATGAGTTTTGAACCATCATCGGTTGAACTCAGTTATACCGGCCAATATATGCCACCGGCTTGACAACAAATACAGTTTTGGTGCCTTCTTCTAAAAATAACTAGGACATGGCTCGCGGCATATTCGTTGGAGAGGCTATAGCGATTAAAATTATTTAATCCTATCAAAAGCTGTGTTTATTATTGTTCTAATGGTCCATGATTAAATTGTTCAAAATATATAGCCAATTCTAATAATGGTCTTCCTATTGATCCAGTGAATAGTCAATAAGCATATTGAGTTTCTAGCCGATTCCAACTTTACACATTGTTTTACCAAGGAGAGACAAACTCAGGGCTAGCTCTGGCTAAAG